GTTATTTAATACTTGACTAACACGAGTTTCTTCTATAGTTCTAATTTGATTTGAAATTAATGACTGATCAAAATCAATTAGAAATTTGAATATTTAAGTATGCTTTGAAGTATTTCTAATGAACTTGATATAACATAATGATCATAGTGTGGTAAACAAATATAACATACGATATTCACACTGTCAAATACTGATTAAAAGATGTTATTCATTTATATCAATAGTTGTTGATTATTGTTTGATAATGATTGAAACTCTTAAATATTTAAATCAAAATAACCAATTATTAAATTTTGATATAATCAATTGAAATTATTATTTGAAAGAAAACATACTCATTCTAATTGTCATTAGAATACATGCTATAATCATACGATTATGAGATTAAAGGGTATGGGTGGTGTGAGTATGGTTGCAAGCAAAGGTTATTATTCCTATACACAACTATCCATCCACATTCTGTTGGCAACAGTGGAAGCCATTATTGCCTAATAAGACATTGCCATTCTTCGTTCTTTTCTACTGCAGCTCAAGGTAAATGAAAAGAAAAACAACAGAAAAGAACAAAAACGTGTTTAAATCCTATTTAGAAATTCTGTTTTTTTTTCTTTACTGTTCTTCCTTGCCTCTTGTTAGATGCATCTACACAAATTTTACTTGTAATGTTTCGTTGGAAAAATTCAAAAAAAACATGAATGCTCAAAATAAAAGGTCCTTGAATTCGATAGCGATCAGCCAAAAACAAGCCAAAGTGTAAACATTAAAACGAAGGTCTGGGTGTATGGATAAAGAAAAAAACAACATCCACATCCAAATTACTTCAAATTCAATTAAAATCCAATTATTATAAATTAATTTAAAAATTTTAAATAAAAACATAGTATCAGATAATTAACATTAAGGAAGAATGATCATATAATTAGAAACTTGAAATTAAAAATGAGTTATAACTATGTAGTAATAGTTGCCAGTTCATACGAATTTTCGTTTGAAAAAAAACAACTCGATTTTACAGGTATAGATAAAAAGAAAATTCATACTCACATTCATCAAGCGTGCTTATTATATATCTCACACGAACAAAATGCTATCATAGTTCATCATATTGATAGTTTTCAGATCGAAGAGTTAAAATTGATACAGATATTAAATATTCAATTCAGTATATACTAAATAATTTATTTTTTTCAGCAGATCGGAGCCGATTTGATGTTTGTTTTTTTTAAAATTATTGTCATCTTTATTTACTAATTAATTGTAGAATTAAAGAACTAAAAAGTAAAATCCATATCGATGGTATCATCTTCTATAATAGATGTACACATTCTTTTTCCAGCAAAGAAATTCTAATACTGAATAAGATCGCTTGACCATATTTCTCCTTTTCTTCTGCTTTAACAACATGCTGTGTTGTTCTTCCGTTTTTTTTAAATTTTCGTAAAAAAAATACTTCTGTTGCGTAGTGTATATGATGTTTGAATATTTTTAAATGCCTTATGGTGCTAGATGTCTATACTCTTTTTATCTACACCTTTCTATAGAACTGATTTTTGAAAGCTCTTTCAATTTCAAGCTTTTTCAGAATAGTGCTAATAGTATTTAGTCTCTAGATTTTCGGGGCACAAAATAATTTCGAATCAATGGCTATGGAGAGAAACAGAATTAATATAATGTATTGCATAGTGTTGCATTGATTTTAATGAATTTTTATTGACACAAACTCGAAAATATAGAGTAACAAAAAACTCTTGATGAGATGTTTACACATTGAAAGAAATAAAAGAAAAAAAACGAACAAAAATGTAACATTACGTTTCTCTAGTAACCCTTTGTTTACATATTCTCGTTTCAATTTGCCACTCACCATATAGATGAGAGAGCAAGAAGAAGAAAAAAAATTATTTGCCATTGAAGTTCTGTTACAATGATGCTGTTCTTTTTTCTTACTCTGCAATAAAAAATAAACAACATTTATGTCTTCACAATTGCTGTTAGGAGATACAAGCTTTTTTTGCTTCCTGTGTCTATACAATATGATTCACTTATTTTTATTCCAGTTTGTTGTAGGGTGTGGATGTGGGTGTGAAGTGTTTTTCTTGACTATAGTCACACTCATACTCTCTGCGAGGCCAGGTATCCAATGTAATAACATTCAAGTTATTATACAGATGAAAAGTAAACAGAAAAGAAATGGAAAGAATAACTATAAAGTGAATTACGTTGTTATATTCCTTTTTTGGGTTTTGATTTGTTATTGACAACCATATTTTGTGTTGAAACTACTTAGGTGAAATTTCTTCGTGAGTGTCAACGAAAAAAAAACAACAGTGCTCAAATGCAACATCGTAAAAAAGAATCTAGAAAAAAGAACATCACACCAATCTTTCAATTAATATGTCGCAAAAAATACAACAATCATTCGAAGCTATCTCTTTTCTTCCCAACTTTTACCTATCTCAACGATCAAAATATTGAATTACTGTTACAAATTATCAATAATTCTTCGTTTTATGCATTGATTTTTTTGATACATCTGATATTTTTGGTCACAGTTTTGTTTAGAATTGCCTTCAAATCTTCAAAAGCTCTAATAGTTCCAATAGTATATGATAGTCTTTTTCATTGAAAACAGTGATCATCCCTCATTTGAAAGTAAAGTTTGGTTGTAACTTCCTCATTTATGCTAGTAGAAGACTTTGTACTAGTATATCAATGGTACTTAGGACTCTTTGCTTAGAAACAATCATGAATCTCATTTCATAACAACCTATTCTACATTATCAGTTTTTACACAATTATTCAAACAGAATTCGATGAACAGTATTGAATTGATTTTAATAAAGTTTTATTGTTTCGAATTCGTCGATATGGTAAAAAGAGACGATTGATGAAATGCAATCACATTGAAAGAAACCAAAAAAAATCGATGACAACAATAATAAAACTACATTAGCGCATGTTTTTATTTTGGTGGTTTGTGCATTGTTTTTATGCATTTTTCTTTAGTTTCAAAAACAATTGAAGTAGTTTTTATTCTTCATTAACGATATGCAACACAGAAGATATTCTGATGCAAGCAGAATAGATATTTTCTTTTAATGTGTTTGCCATCGATATGTATTTATTGTAAACATTCTCATAGTGATAAATGTATGTATGGTACAGGATCTTTCTTGTTAATTATCATTGTGACACACGTTCTACTTGTACGAGATCTCGAAAATGAAGAAATAGAAACAGGATAATTATCTATAAATATTTTAACACAAATTCTTTTTATTTTACATATATTTTGAATGAATATAATATAAATCAAAGAACTACTACAACAAGATGGTTAATGATGATACAATGTGTAGTTGTGAATTTTGAGATAATCGAAGCTAAAAATCGACCCTCACACTCATACTGCGTACTGATGTTGTGCAAAAGAGATACTTTAACATTCATTAATAGACATACAGTTTATTCTTAATAGGTTCGGTAATTTTGAGAAAATATATCTCGCTGGTGTTTAAATATAATGTTGTTTCAATTCAATATTGAAATTATTTTTCGTGCCGTTTTTTTTGTGTCTCATCAACATATATGTCATAAGAAAAATGAAAAAAAAAATTTCAATCCATGATGTTTTCGTTGTTTCATGTTTTGTTTTCGCCGAAAAGAGAAAAAGACGAAGTATCCAACACATTATTGCTCAAACAATTCAATCGATGAAAAGTAAACGAAAGTTGGAAAGAAAAATAATGCCATTAGGTATGTTGTTGGCAACCATATATTCCATTGCAACTAGGTAGAGATTGCTTCAAGTGTCAACAAAACAAAAACAGACACTCAACATCGAATATATATAGAAAAGAGAAACTTTATCCAAATAGCAACTCATTATTCATTTTATTCAACTACTGATTCAAAAGGAAAATATAACGTCAAAAATGAGTCGACAACGACAGCGACGTATGGCCGAAAATTATTTGGTGATGTGGGTCGATGCGAATATCGATATGAAAAACGAAGATTGCCAGAACACACTGACGCAACTGCGTAGTGTTGTTAACGAAGTGAACCCATGTACGACGGCTGAAGAATGTATTGGTAAACTCCAGGAAAACAAAGAGGAGACATCATTCGTCATCTCCTCAGGTGCATTAGGACAACACCTAATACCAGAAATTCATGGCATGCCAAAACTGGATGTCATATACATCTTTTGTGGCAACATACAACGTCACCAAGAATGGGCTAAAAATTGGCCCAAAATTAAAGGTATGCATACATCAATCAAGCACATCTGTGAAAAATTGGCAATGGCTACAAAACAATGTGATCAAAGCCAGGTAACTATTAGCATTATTAGTGCTAGTGAAGGAGGTTCTAGCGAAGATCTTAATCAGCTGGAACCTTCCTTCATGTATACTCAAATATTCAAGGAAATACTCCTTGACATGGAACATGGCCAAAAAGCCATTAAAGACTTGGTCATCTTCTGCCAAGAACAATACAAAGGCAATACCAAAGAACTGAAATTGATCGATGAATTTCAACGTACTTATTATCCAACATTGGCATTATGGTGGTATACACGTCAATGCTTCACCTTCAAAATGCTCAATCGAGCATTACGAACACTCGACGGTGACATTATCATCCGAATGGGATTTTTCCTGTGTAATGTTCATCGACAAATTGAAGAATTACACAACCAACAGGTCAGTCAGTATCATGGGAAGTCCTTTTTAGTTTATAGGGGCCAAGGATTATCGCCACACGATTTCGAGAAACTCGCAAAAAACAAAGATGGTCTCATATCTTTCAATAATTTTTTATCCACCAGTAGAGATCGTGATGTCTCCTTCGCTTTTGCCGAAAGCACCTTAGGAGCAACCGATATGGTTGGAATCCTCTTTCAAATGACCATCGATCCCACAGTCTCATCGACTCCTTTTGCCTCCATCCAGGAGGTGAGTTATTTCAAGGACGAAGAGGAAATTCTCTTCTCCATGCACACCGTCTTTCGAATTGGTGAAATTCGAAAACTTGACAACAAAAGTCCACTTTATCAAGTGGACCTTAAACTTACGTCTGATGATGACCAACAACTTCGTCAATTAACCGATCGTATACGACAAGAAACATCGGGCAGCACCTGGTGGCATAGAATGGGTCAATTGCTGCTCACAATTGGTCAATTTGACAAGGCTGAAGAATTATATACAGCACTACTAGAACAAGCATCCAACGACAGTGATAAAGCAGATATCTATCACCAGCTCGGATGGGTGAAACAAGACCAAGGACAACACAAAGCAGCAGCTTCATTTTACGAAAAAGCACTAGAAATTGATCGAAAAAGTCTCCCGGAAGATCATCATTCATTGGCTAATACCTACAACAACATCGGTACAGTGTATAACAACATGGGTGACTACTCGAAAGCACTTGAATTTTACGAAAAAGATCTCGAAATCACGAAAAAAGCTCTGTCTCCGAATCATCCCGATTTGGCTAGTTCCTACAACAACATCGGCCAAGTGTATAACAACATGGGTGACTACTCGAAAGCACTTGAATTTTACGAAAAAGCACATAAAATAAAAGAAAAAGCTCTGCCTGCGAATCATCCCGATTTGGCTATTTCCTACAACAACATCGGTGGAGTGTATAAGAACATGGGTGACTACTCGAAAGCACTTGAATTTTATGAAAAAGCACATAAAATAGAAGAAAAAGCTCTGCCTTCGAATCATCCCGAATTGGCTATTTCCTACAACAACATCGGTCTCGTGTATAACAACATGGGTGACTACTCGAAAGCACTTGAATTTTACGAAAAATCACTTAAAATAAGAGAAAAAGCTCTGCCTGCGAATCATCCCTCATTGGCTAATTCCTACAACAACATCGGTGGAGTGTATGACGACATGGGTGACTACTCGAAAGCACTCTCATTCTTAGAAAAGGCACTTTCTATCTTGCAAAAATCACTTCCACCTAACCATCCTTATATTATAATGGTCACAAACTCAATTGACTATGTAAAAAAGAAAATGTAACTGTAATTTTTTCTTTTTGCTTGCTCAATAAATTTATTCACATTGCTAATCGTTTCGATTTTTCTCGGCTCATTTTGGCTTATTCGCGCGCGCGCGACAAGGGAGAGATCCCTTGTCAATGCCATAGGTACCACAGGTGGACCACGCCGGACTGGTAGGGCAATGGCCGAAGGTATACCGTATTAACGATAGGGACCAACGACACATAGAGGCCTTCCCTAGTACTACACTGCTTCGCTATGGCAAAGTTTCTCTACCTATTGAATCAGACAACGTAGTTCTCTTACCCACACTAATAACATTCATAACTCAACTCATCTCATCTCAAATGTACTCATACTCATACTCATAATAACTTATCTCAACTGAATATGTAAAAAAAATTTTTTTTCTTACTTCTCAATATTGTATAGTATCGAAACTCATCTAAAAAACAAAGATAAAAAAAGTACTATTAAATATATAATGAATTTATTATTTACCTCATATAGAATTTAATAATATAATTATCATTGTAAATAATATAATAGTAATAATAAATAATAATCCCGGGTATATAAATACATTGTAATGCATTATAATAATACAACTCGAGTGTATACTGTTTCATAATGATGTATTCATGTTTTTATATACTCTGAGTTTAATTGACCGATGTTCAAAATTTTGATTGATTTTTTATCAATCATTTCACTTCTGTTTTAATTGATTTGATGATTTTTTTTTCTCGTCTGACATACATCTATATCATGTCATCGTCGACAAAAACAAATTTTCATATTACACATATATAGGGTGTTGTCTTTCTCCTTCACATTGCTCGTCTTCAAATAAGAATACAAGACAAGAGAATTCATCAACTCAAGTAACTAAAAAAATAGGCGTGTTTTGTTTTTACAAAATGTTGTCTTTATTTTAAGAATGTCTGAAATATATACATGTCTAAATTATATAGAATAAGATAGTGTTTGTCTCTCTACTGAACAATATATTTTTTATTGAACGTCTTCATTATCTTCAATATATATGTATTTGAGAAATTTCTGAGAAATTTTTGCGTAAACTTTTTTCACATATAGTTTTTCGACTTTTCTTTAAAGAAATGTTAGTTGTGCAAAAATTGAAATTTCTACACATTTAAGATTGATGAATTTCTTTCATTTCAAGTGATTTTCATTAGAATATAGTGCTTCTCAGGATTTATCTAATTTTCGTCCAGAATGTATCAACTTGTACACAACAAACTATGAATGATGTGTATTCACTTATATTGTCATATTCATTGATATATAGTAATGAATATATAAACAGCTACGAATTCATCTCAAAATAGTCTCCTGATGATAGAGTATATCATATTTGTACTCTTTAAATTTTCAAGATTTATCGATGAAAACAAAATTCATCATTATAAACATTTTGAACAAACAACTATAATGTAAAAGTAATATTATTTCTAGATTTTTATACGAAACTGTATATCAGACAAAGTATTAGTACAAAAAAGAGGCATTTTTCGTTTAGATATAATGAATGTTATTGCCTTTATATGTTCCACTTTCTTAATTGAATTATTAATGAGTATTTTGACATTGTAGAAATGAAAGAGGTAACTGTTTTTAGTTACCTGACAAAGTACTCTCTATGAAGTAATGCCATTTAATTAGAATGAAATGAAGTATTTTCTAAGAGAGACAATAATGATAGCAGTAGAGCATCTAATGAATGTCTTCATGTATTTCTCATTATATTTCTCTTGTATAAAAATTATTCGACAGATACAACAATTTCATTTTGTTTTCAGTGTAGATATTTAAGTTTCTATAAAAAATTCGATGTTGGTTTTTTATTAGAAAATGATTAAACTATAGTTGCTTGAGAAATTGTATATTTTGTTTTTATTCAGATCTCCCATCATACAGTTGTTGGTGTATTCTATATTTCGATTGTAGGTGTAGAGTGAGGCGTTACACTAAAAAAAAAAGAAAACGTGCTGAATAACTTATTGGAATATTTTCTCGTTAAGGATAAATTCATATTCTGACGAATATTCGTTTTCTATGATTTTCTAAAGATAATTGATATTTTTATCGAGTATTTGTGAGATATAGAGTTTTATTGTGAGTTCATTGAAAAATATCTCAGAATTTTCATAAATAAAATTATGTATAGATTAATTATTTGAGTCTATAAAATAAATCTCAGTAGTAATAATAAATTAATTAATGAATCACATTTTTTTTTCTCATTAGACATATATGCATGGTTTTTTGTTATGCTTGAAAGTATAAGTGAATCTATGAGACATAGAACAGATACAAAGAAAATTGCAAATCTCTTTCGAGTAAATGATATCGTCCTTATAATTTTTATGAGAAATTTCTACTAATAAAAAGGCTTTTAATAAAAGATTTTTTGTAAAGTTAAACAACGAATCTTTTGGTAAAATCCACAAATAGACGAATTCTTTATCAGTATTTCAGTGAATGTTGTTTTAATATTAATCTCTTTATATATCTTGTTGAGTCTGACACTACATTGTTGTTCTTCAACATGAATATAGACAATTTATTAGTAACAAAAATATCAGTTTGAATAAAAGATTCTAGTTGTTTTGCTTTTTACTTATGAAATAGGAACAATGTTTGACCTTTTTACTGTTAGAAAAGAATAATTGAGAAAGTTCGTTTACAGGAAAAAATACATTTCGATTAGAAATTTTAAACTTGTAATTTTTGTATAATTATGACCTGATAAATACTGTTGAAAGTTGTGCGTGTAAATTTTTTTTGAGAATGAATTGAATGAATCATTTATTGCTTTTGCACGAAAGCAATCTTTTTATTTTTCTTCTTTATTTATATTTTGTTTTATTTAATATTTAATTGTACCACAGAAAATAACAGAGGGGTGTGAATCTGATGAGCTCTTCTTGTTAGCTCATACCTAAATGCTTTAAGGATTTAGTAGATGCGTTCATTGAATATTAAAAGATTTATCTCATTGAATTAGTTTTCTTTATTAGAATTTTTTTTCTTTTACTTTTCTACTAATATTTTTGTTTATCAATGAGAATTTTGATAAAAATTAATAGACGAATCAATTAGATACATTAAATTTGTATCAATTAATATTATACAGTTTTTACCATTTATATAAGCCGAATCAATAGTAAAAAAAATAGAGTTGATGATTACGAAGATGATATAAAAATTCAATTATGTATTATAGAAAGTTTTTACGGAAGAATAATTTTAATTGAGACATATATATGTACTGATCTGTCGTAAACTTCTCTTTTTGTATAGCTTATATTATACAGATTTTTCTCTGACGAAAATCACACAGCTCATTTAATAATAAAATTCAATACTGGTATTTTTGTTTTTTTTTTCTACTGTATAACAATAATATTTTGATTTACGTAATCTAACATATGAACACAAATGATGTTGTTGAACATTGAAATCAAGTTCAACATGCGCTTGAAATAAGTGTTTACGGAGATTATTGATATTGAAGTGAGGAACGTATTTATACGTTCAATCTCACTCACTCATTATTCCTAAAAACACTCAACATTTCCATGGATCATCTATTAATGTCATAAGTGCAGAGTGTTTGTGATATAAGTGCTAGAATAACGCATCAAAGGTATGGGGTTCCTTCGAAACACTTCGAAAAAGACAAATTTTCAAATGATAAATCAATTATAAAAATAGCTAAGAATTTATTCGAAAGGTTTTTATTCCATAAAAGTCAAAAATAAATATATTGATAACTATTCTTATATGACATTGAAAATAATTCATCATTTTACATCATTGAAAAAACTATTTTTTGTTTCATCGAAATAGTTTCGTTATTGATTTGAATTAGATTTACTTCAATAAAAAATATAGTAATGTGTTGAAACTTTTTCAAATTCATATTACATATAGTTAGTTTCTCAAGAAATACCGATCAATTCCATCTTAATTTTCTACAATGAGAAAATATTTTTCGATTTTATCTTCTAACATTATTTATTGAAACATTTTTGAATAGAAAAAATAGGATATTCTAGATCGTTTTTTCTCTGTAATCGATTTAGACACGTTAAGTATATCAAATAGACTACAAAGTAAGACAGAATACAAGTAGTAATGAGTAAATTAGGAGCTAAGGTGTAGATTGTTGGTGTCTATGAAAACAAGCTCATCTACACACACATCTTCATTATTCTGTTGTCTTAATTTTTGGTTTGAAGGAAATTGACATACTAAACTTACTTTATAATCTTTACTGAGTAGAGTTCAAGAACAAATGACAACATCAATGCAATTTTAATCATATAACTTTCAGTACCACTTAAAACTCTTTTACAAATATAACTCTAGAAACTCTATCTAGACGTGATATTCATTCTCTCTGAGTTTTGTTTCATTTTAAGTGCTTCACTTTTTGTTAAACTAGTCGTTATCTTTATTGTCAACAGAAAGCAAAATAAAAAGCAATTCATTACAAAAAAAACTTAATAAATAATGTCATGCCTTGCTTTCTTTTTATGATATCTAAGAGTTTCTCTTGTTCTCACCTTATAATGCCATAAGCGTTTGTATACATAGAAACAGGTCAATAGACATCATTGTTTGAAAATGTATGATGAATTTCTGTATTAGTAGGTTAATTTTTTAGTCAATTGAGAGTCTAATATCGTGCGAAGGCGATGAAAGCATAGATAAAATGTTACTATTGATGTTCTTCTACTATTCTTGAGGTGTGGGTGCGGGTGTAAGTGAAGAGAAGATAAACACCCACACCCACACCCTTATTTAATAGGACTTGAGGAACTATTGATACCCCGTATATCATAGAACTTGTGGACCTATGAATATCCCCATAGAACACTTAAGGAGTCATAGATATCCAGCCTGTGATGTCCCTAAGGAATCCTGAAGATGGTATGTGTAACTTTTCGTGATGATCAACTCATAGAGGTAAACTATTTGGAAAGGTTC